CGGACGTAATTGGTGCTTTGGACCTTGTCACTACGCTTTGTGTATGTAAAATCGTCCGTATGTCGGATCACGTTTTTCCTGTAGACTTCAATGGGGATATATTCAATTTCTTTTCCTGTTCATCAAAAATAGGGTTGCATCTCTCAAAATATGTAATAAGTTTTTCTAAACTTCATCGTGGAAAAAATAACTGTATCTTGAAGAAAAGCACACAGAATCTGTTTTTTTGGAAGAGCAGAAGAAGCAAAAAACAAAAACAACAAAAACAAATCTAGCTAAAATGTGCACAGAGGTTGGAACAAATTCTGAAAAAGAAGCAGCACAAAATCAGCCTGCTTTTGATTATGAATTAGAATTTTTTATAATGGAAACTTTTTATGAATATGAATAGCTCAATTTGTTCAAGAGGTCATCAAAATGTAAATTTTTTTTTACAATTTTTAGAAATATTTAGAAGCGTGTGCCCGTATTTTGAGACGTTGTCTGGATGTTGGGGCACATTTTATTTTTATATAGTGTCCTTAGGTCGAATCAAACGTATGTTGGGTCGTCCGTATGTCGGGATCCCACTTTTCTGAAATTGCCAATTTACAATTCAATTTCTCTGGTTCAATTTTGGTTTGTATAGGGAAGCTGGGTATCCAGACACGACTGCAACTCATGGGATTATCGGGGGAGCCTGGAATGCCTCTTATACCTTTGGGTAAGAATGGGGTTAGGAATCGGATTTAAACGTGCAAATGTGACATTCCAGTAGTTTAATAGGGTGTTTGGAAAATTTAATTGTAATTTCGTTCTCTGTCTCGAAATATTTTCAACGTGTTATGCATGCAATTTTATATGATATCCTCGGCTCTCTTAACTATATCATGTAGCATAGCATTTCACGAATGACCGATTGAACTATTAATTTTGCGTTTTGGAGCTTTCGCAGTAATGCTCGCAAACCGCTAAATATTTCAAAACATTTAACTGCTGAAGAAGGGTTCGATTCATTTTCGTTTTTCAGAATTTAATTGCACTGTGCATGATAGAATTGCAAGAAATTATAAAATAAAGCTCATTAATGTCTGGAATGAGAGGGTCATTTGGGTAAAGCACTGGATAAAAAGGGCGCATTTTTCTTTCTTTTATGATCCATGATGACAATTTTGCGGTTTTGGAAATTTTAATAAAATACTTTAGCTTTAGCAGATGACACTAAAGTTATGAAGACAATGTATTTCTGTTTCATTTCCACGTGCCTTCTGGGGAAAACAATTTATTCCTGGAACTTATTCCACACTCAATGAAAACAGGAAGAAATTTGAACTTTTTGGGTTATTCCGTTTTTTTTGGAAAGGTTTCCTCAATTTTTTTATTATTTTTTTGCAGTGATATGACTGGACCAGCCGTTGGTGCCAGCATAACAGAAAAATTTGGATATCCCTGGGCTACAACGGTGTGTGGAATCTTTGCCTTAAGTTTTGTGAGTATCTTTGGGAATTGCTTTTGGGATACATTTTTATTTAAAAAATTTATTTATCTCATTCAGTTTTTTAAAACCTTTTCTCTCTCTCTCTCTCTCTCTCTCTCTCTCTCAAGGCTTTGTGCATGACTTGGTTCACCTGTGCGGATTCGCGGAAATCTTCCAATTTGAATTCAAATACTGTAGTAGTGTCACCCAGAGGTCGAAAAACATTTTGCAGTAGCACATCAGGTAAAGAAAAGTTACGAGGTTTTGTAGAAGTCGCGAGCTATGGTTCATCCGAAATTGTCTCGTGATTCAGATCCTTTTCGTTTTTTTTTCTTCGATCTTATTTCCTGATACTTGTATTTGTTTCATAAATTGGGGCGTGAGTGATTTCAGCGGGATTTATTTTCAAGTGGTTTGATGACGGTTTGAACAGAATGAAAGCTTCGTTTTCCGTAGCATCATAAATTTATTCAAATCTCACATGAAATCTACAGCGTTCCACTTGAAGCTCAGTCGTTGAAATGATATCGATCCTGACCCGAGATATTGAAGGACACTATATAAGATTCACTAAGTTTCTCGTCGGCCTCCCTTTTCCCCACCTTGAAACATATAGCACCGCAAAATTTCTCAAATAACGTCAGCTAACAAGTATCTCAACGTTTTTAGTTTTATAATCAATTTTTCAGAGATTCTTCCTCCTCCTTAAGCATCTGAATTTCGTCTTTGTTCAGAAAGTAATAAGACGGAACTCTGCCTCTCTGAAAATGGAAGACGAGAAATAGAAAATGCATGAATTTTCGAAAGTGGATGAGAAATGTTTTTAAAATTTAAAAGATGTATACTCACATAATCTTGGGGTTTTCGGGCTCCTCCTTTCACTAGTATTTTTGCCAGTTGGTCTACTTTATCCAGGCCCATGGCATAATGCATGGCTGTTCTCCCCATCTGAAATTTTTGAGAAAGGTCTTTTTAATTTGTTGTCACAAATATTATCAAGTATGCTACAGTTAAATTCTGTTACATAGAACCTTGTTCTGACAAATTTGTTTTCTTGGTCCAAGCAGTTTCTCTGTTGGTTTCATTTGAAAAAGTCCTGTTTCAACAAACTCATTTTTGCTGTAAAGCTGTAATCTCAGTCTAAAAGTTTTTGTCCCTGAATTTGTGCCTAGGCAAAATGGATTATTTGATAAATGGCAGAAACATTGAAAAAACTGAAATGGTGCAGCATTCAAATTCCATCAAAGGAATTTTCAGCTATTTTAGTAATGTGTTAAAAATACGCAATTTGACATATTTCTTGGAAATTCTTCACCTTCATTTCAGAATGTTTGTCTTTTTTAAAAATAATCAGTACATTGTGAATAAATTTCCTCCATTTGCAAGAATGAACAAATATGATTGAATAGGTTGATTCAGATGGAATTACAATATTTTTTTCCAAATGCACTTTTTTAATGATTTTCAAGACAAATGTCTTTTTGTTGAAAGGCAGGTTCAATGATATGAAAGTAGTTTTTATTCAAAAAAATTCTCTTCATATCATCAGATTATTGAATATTATGACAGGTCTTGAATCATCTGTTCTAGAATAACTTTACAGTATTTATTGCCAATTTCCCATCAAATGTCAGACTAAAATTTGTGCAGCATGATGACTGACATGTTTCTTCCAAAACCATTAAAAATTGTAACTTGTTCAATGTTATGAATGTTTCCAACCGAGTTATCAAAGCAGGAATTCCACTTGCAAGACATATTAATACTCTCACACAAAGGCAACCACATCAATACAAAATCTTGAAAAACAATCATGCAATTAAAAATATAGAGAGCTTACGTTGTCTTGAAGAGAGACTGTTTCTGGAAAGTTTTGCACCAGGAACTCAACAATGTCCATGTACTCAGTCAAGGTGGCAATATGCAGAGCTGTTCTGCCATAGTTGCTTTTTGCAATTGCCAATTGACTCGCCCCGTCTGTCAACGTTTCTTTGACTCTGCGCAAGTCTCCGTTTCGAATCGCCGAATGGAGGATGTTTCTCAAGTCCTGGGTTATATTCACAATCATTCAACGTGGGATAATTTTCTTTATCAAGAATAAGATACGTTTAATTTTTTATTCAAGCCAGCTGAAGTTGAAAAAAAAATTTAATTGCTTTGGCAAACGTGAATTTTCTACCTTCACTCTTGAGGATTGAAAATTCTGCTGAACTTTTTTGGGAATTTCTCATAATCCAGTTTATCAAGCATTGAATTGTAAATCTAATCCTTAGTTCCTTACAAGACTGTGATATCTTCAGCAACATTTCACCTGCTGAATTGAAAGGTTAAGTGATGTAATCTTCCCATAATTTTAGCAACCCCGAATATGGATCATTATTCGAAGTTTGACTTGTGCTTCAACTTTGCATGAAAACGGTACAATGTATTCAAGCCTCACTTTCTGTCTAAAAAAAATTCTGTAAATGATAAAGAACCTAATTTGAGCAAAAATGTTATACTAACTGAGAATGGTTCAATGCCGGACAAGAGTTCCACTGTTTTGTCTTGGCCTTTTTTGTTTGCAGCTTCATAGGCTGTGAGTCCATCCAAGTTCTTGACATCTATGATGTGATCGTAGCCCTCCATTAAGAGATGGTAAATTTCGCTCCTTTTCCCTGCAATTATAAAATTAGCGTGTGCACAAAACTCTTGCTTTCACTTCACCATACTTGAAGAGCGTAAATAAGAACATGAATGTACACCAATTACTGTTCTTACACTCAAGTACCATATGGGTCCTGAAATTGCATAAGATAAGAACCTTCATTTTTATATTTGTTAATCTTTTTGTTATTTCAAATAAAGTATAATTATTTCTAACATATTTATTTGAAATAGAGGCGAAAATCCTGTGATAGAGCTGAAGAATTTCTAGGAAATATCATGTTAGTTTTTTATTTTTTCAACACTAAATTTTATCTACAGAAAGTGTTGCTTCTTTGATGAAGTTAGAATACTGCAACATTTAGATTTTCCTAAATTGTTCTTCTATTTATCCATTAATCCATATTGCCAATGCGCAGAATCAAGGCCAGCAGTTTGTTGCCCTTAACATAGATAACAGCATAAAAATAAAGGTGCTCATTTAATATTAATGTATTAAAAATATTAAACTCTTAAGAGATATCCCCCCCCCCTCCAACTCGTTGTCTGGAAAAAGTTTCAAAATTTGCGAATTACAACTTGCTGAAATGATAAGTTTGTTCTCAAATAAAAGGGGAAATTCCATTGCCTTTGATTTTTTTCTATGCATTATTCAGCTGTGATATGATCAGAAGATGATGCAGAAAATACTGCATGGAAAATTTGTATGTCCAGTTAGGACCCAAGTATAAATAAATGTGCATCCCATTTATGAGTCTAAAATATGTTGGGGGGAAATTGTTTGGGGTATTGAAGTGAATATGGTACTGTAAAATGTTAATGCTGGGTGTTTGTGGTACTGCACCTTCAGCAGCAAGATTCACCACATAGTCATCAATAGCAGCCACATTTTCTCTCACACCAGCAGCTCTTGCAACATCTCGGCAAGTTTGATACCTGAAATAAATAAATAAATAAAATAATAACTTGAATTGCATTTTACTGTGGCAAGTGTCATTGTAAATTGCATACCGCTCATCCCTGGCTGCTAAACTAGCATTTGATTCATCAATGATCTTCTTGAATCCCTGCCTTGGGTTTGCCCCATGTGGTCTTGAAGAGGCATGGTGCAACACAGTCTGTCCTCTTTCATCCTGAACCACAATATATCCAACATAATCACTCAAGCTGTTCAAAATACCATGTGAGTATAAAGACCTTGCACAGTGGTTTTGGCAAGCTCATGCAGATGAAACACCAAAATAGAGGCACAGCAAGTGAAGTGGAGATTTAAAATTTAAAAAGCGAGCATTTCCAGACAGGTGGGTGCCAGGGTCAAAAGTCCACTTCTATGTAATATGTCATGGTTTCTATATAGGTAGGGGTCACACAGGGACATAAGAGGATGGCCTACAGCAACATCAGTCCTGCTGCTGGGGTACACACACTGAGGCAAGTACCCTGGCAGTGGATGATTCCTTGGCTTGACGCATTGGAGCTGCTGAGGTTGAGGACTCTGATGGGGTTGGAGGGTTTGGGAAATTTTCTGGAAGTTGGAAGCTGGTGGCTGAGAGTGTGTCTTCTGGTTCTTCTTCATTTGGTCCAACTTGAGGAACTCCTTCATCATTCAGTTCTCCTTCTTCTTCCTCCTGCTGGATTGGAAAGCACAACATTTGTCACAAACAAATAATTAACTGCTGGAATTAAGATGGTTGTGATATGATAAGGATAAAATTATAATCAGGAATATTCATCTGTAACTCAACTAATTTTTTACTGGCCTTAATGTAGGTGCCAACGTGAAAGAAGACTTAACAAGTAGCCAAACATTTCTACCATACAATAAAAAACGTTTTCTACCTACAAAATGTTCCCTGTAAAGATGCTTGAATTTCAGCAATTTTTAGTTAACGTTTTTAAATATTTTTTCAAAGGCAAGTATTGTGGAAATTTTTAATAGAATAAAAAATTGATAATTGTTTCATGCTCTAACCCAAAAATCTTACGCTTCCAGAAACTTGAGATGAGCCCAAAAATCTGAACTATTGCTGGCCAGTAAAAACTGAAAAACCTTCAAAGTAAAACATTTAACTACATCCTGACATCATCAAGCAACCAAACAAAGTTCAAAGATTTTCCATTTAAAAAAAATAAATGCCTTATCCTAAAAAAAAACCTTTGTTTCTTCGGAATCTTGGAACATTCAGAATAAAAGTTTGATCACGTGATCTGCACATATCCTTCAAAAATTCTGAAAATGTGTCCTTGATATTTCCATGTGCCAAAAATGTTAATAATATCTCAGGGGATATAGTGCCAAGATTACTCCACTTTCATCTTTACAATTGTATACATACATGGGTATGTGAAAGTCGATAAATTAAGGTCAATCCCCGGATTTTTGCAAGTTTCTGCTGGAACACATAACATAATTTCTTAGTAAATGTGATGGAAATAAAATTTCGCTTGAAGGAAATCATTTACATTATGAATATAGACAACCCAATGTAAAAATAAAAACCAATGAAAAGTTGAAAACCCATGTTATCATCTTGTGAAAGTAATGTGCATTTATACATATGTTAAAATACTGAAATATGAAGCTGGATGTAGTAATCCACATACTGTAATAAGATTAAAAAGTGCAACTGAATGGAAAAAAATTAAATGACACGTCATTAGCAAACACAATCAGACAATTGTCAGACTTGCTTTCTGATTCACAGGCAACGAATATCTTGCCTCAACTGAGATGACCAGAGTGTTGGGGTGGTTGTTATTCTCTGTGCTGATGCCAGCATATCCATGCAGAAAACTTGCAAGGAAGGCTACAGGGTCATTGGGCTTCCTCTTGGAAATCTCTGTCAGCCCTCTGACCAAAGGATCTCCAAGAACTGTGAACATAAGAAAACATTCATTGCCTATAAATAAATTTTGCACAGATGCAATAAAATCTTGACACAAAAAAAATCCATTTGGATCAGGAACAAATCTTTTGTATGATGAAGAGATTGTGACATCCCAAACAACCCTGTGGAAATTCTATTATGGGTGGGATACCATCAGTCAAGCTAACCCTATTCATCACAGTGGTGCTCCAAAACCTTTTTGGGCCCACAGGACACTGTCACACTTTAAAAGACAGCTTGCAGACTGGAAAAATTCCTGGAAATTTTTTGTGGACTGGCAAAGTTTCATAAAAGTTTTGTAAACTGGCAGACATTTTTTAAATGACTGTGCCATGAAGTCATTCAACCAAAACTGTTATTACAAAAATTAGGCAAATAACTGATGAAGCCACTACAGTGGAATGTCTTCAAAAAATTATTAATCTGGGCTTCAAGAAAGGTTTCTCAGAATGAATACTTGAAATAATTTATTCAAGCGGGTGAAGATTTGTCTAAAGTGAAATTAGGAGAAAAGCCAACTTGCATTTTTCATCAGATGATTTCAATTATCATTGTCTTCTCAAAACTTCAGATAAAGATTATAAATTTCATCACTAATGTGAGTATGAAAAATGTATTATGCGGAGGAAATTTTCAAATGGACCAGCAGAAAATGTCTGCAGACCTGCATCTGTCTGCAGGCCATGGGTTGCAGAACACTGACTTGAAGGGACCTTAAAATGACACAATACTCTGTAAGCAAGATTTCATTGTAATGAGATTTGTTGTAGCCAGATTCCACCTGCAGAATCATGCAATGGCTGAAAACTAACCTTTGACCAGGTATTGGCCTTCATCAGTCCACACCCCAGGAAACCTTTGGATAGACTCCATTTGCCCTTCAGTCTCTGGAATTTCAGTCATCATTTCTGCAGGATTTTCTTCCCTGGAAGCTAGAATATTGAAAGCCCAACACTACTGAAATGATGTTTGTATATACACACAATACGTGAGGAAAACGTGGTAACTTTTTTTTTTAGTGTCTAACACAACAAAATTGGAAGTAATTATATAGCTAAGTGGATCACACTGCACAGCCTCGCAAAAAGTTCCAGGTCTTGGTGTATTATAACTCAATTTCCTGGAAAAAAGTAGGTATTTATATTTCCTCAAAGGTCTATTTTCTTGACAATACAGACATTTATGCAAATTTTGAATCCTGGATTATCCACAGCAATGTTCCCCAACCATTTTGAGCCAGCAGACCAGCAAATTTCTAGTGACCTTCTGGCAGACTTGCAAATTTCCAAAAAAGTTTCTGCAGACTGGCAAAGTTTCATGAAATTGTTGTAGTCTCAGAACAGATTTGTTTGAAAGACTTCATAGCAGGTATTCAAAAAGTTTCTGCTTTTTTGCAAAAATCAAGTCAAGAACCAATGGACCAGCCATACTGGAATGTCTTCAAAAAAATTAGAAAGCTGCGCTTGGAGAAATTTTTCTCAGAATTAATATTTAAAATAATTTATTTCAGCAAGTGAAAATTTGGCTAAAGCATTACTATATAAGAGCCAATTTTATTTTTCAACATATGCTGTCATTTAGGGTGTCCTAATCTTTCTGAAATTTCAGATGAAGATAGCAGATTTCATTGCTAATTTGATACATGTATTCTGAAGAAAATATCCTGCGGATCAAAAAAAAAAAAAGCTTCTGGGGACCGGCGCTGGTCCGCGGACCACTGATCAACAGTACGGTATATTTTATAAGAGTGGACTTGAAAAGGAATGATTGTACGAATATAATGTTTTTTTGATCATGATCCGATGAGTCTCCAATGATTTTCCTGAGGCTCCATCGGGTTTATGCCTTGATTTTCCTCCTGACTGATGATGATGATGATGCCTCACCTCCACCATCAACTTCTCCAACAGCAACAGCAGAGTCCTGATCATCTTCGGGTTCTTCTTGGATGTTTTCTGGCCCATTTGCTTCCGGGTCCTTATTACTGAGGTCTGCCAAGAGCTCATCTTCAGTTAGCTCCCCGGGGTTGCGTTTATAGTAACCTGGGGTTTTTCCTTCCTGTTCGTCAATGTATTTCGTGTGTGTGTGTGTATGAGTACATCACAGAGTGGGTTCGTAGACGTTGAGTCGAAGTGTGAATGACGTAGCATCCAGTCCACGGTTTCGTGGGTGAGAATAGATTTTGAGAGAGAGAGAGAGAAAAATGCAACATTTAGTACAAATTAAGAATATGGTGAGTGTTTGTGGAATTGTGTGCATACGCTGTAGCGATTTTTATATTATAGCACGTATGAATGTGCAAAAAGGTTTGAAACCATGCACAGTGCCCAGGCGGTGAGTCAATTTCCCATGCAATGAAAAAATAAGCGAATTTCTTGACAGGTTTATTTTTCGTGAGAAACAGGTGGAATCTTTCTCTCTCTCTTATTAAGAAATTCTCTCTACAGCGAAATTTCTTGTAGAGAGCCTCTAGGTATATGCTTAGAGACGCCTATGACTCAGTTCAAAAAATTGCTATACAGAGAAAAATGTTGTAGAGAGAGAGATTCTAAGTTTAATTACAGAAATAAAATACTTTGGTTCGATGTTCCGTGAAAGTATTATTGGCACTTGAAAAATAATAATTCAGGGTGGACTCTCCCTATACAACAATCTTGTCAACTATACAATTTTCCCTGCACAACTAATTCTTATTTTATCCAATAGGGTTCTCTATACCCGTTTTTTATAGGGATTCTCAAGAAAGGAATTCTGGTCCCTAATGAAACCAACATTTTTTGGGTGCGTTGAATTTCGTTGTAAAAAAACGAGTCCACCTATACACAAGGTGGACTCAAGGGTTGAGGGCAAAGTTGGGGAAATTTCCAATGTTTTTTCCCTTCATGCAAAAAAATTTCCTGGGAAATTAAAATGCTCAGTTGAGCAGCAGGCTTTTTTTTATTAATCCTGACTTTGCCTCAGCCACCTGGAAGGGTCTACCTGGCCGTCAAAGTACTGATAGTGTGGGAGGATACAAAAATAATCTGACTTCATCCTACAAAGGGAAAGAACCCTCTGCTGTCTGAGGGTTTTGAAATGGTTGAAATATCTTAATCAAGAGAAATTCCATTTCTTTAGCCTAATTCATTTATGCAAGCGTGTACTAATCTAAGAAAGTGGGAGGGAGTTTAAAAAATTCCAAGAATTCTGTTATTTTGATCCTAATAATGCTTTCCACAATCTAGCCTTGAACACTCAACAACAAAACCCTTTTACTGTAGTCTTTTTTTATGCATCCTTGCCTCATTTCCAAAAATCAGTGGGAAATCAAAGTTTTTTCCTACTTATTTCCCCTTATTACCCCCCCCCCCCCACCATTTTTCTTTTCATACTTTCCACACTTGGAAATAATTGCTGGTCTCAAATAAACGCTTGTTTCTATTAGAGGCCCCAAGGGAAAATTGAAAATGTTGAATAAATGCCAGGGCACTTATTGGAGCATATATGGGCTATTTCATGCATCTACTGTTATTTGCGTGTTCCTCACTTCATCATAAGAAACTATAGAGTGCTATAATGTTTCAATTCATCAACTGCTGAATTGAAACAAACTCTGTCATTTTTGTGAATATTATATAGGTATAGTAATATTCAGGAACAGCGTGGAATCCTTCTTAATAATACACTTGTACATGGTATTCATGGTTGCCTATTTCTCTGACATTCCACCAAACTACAAGTCTCTCTAAGGTGAATTTTAAGGGACAAGCAAAAAAATTGAGTTCCAAAAATTTTGAGTTGAGGAAACAAGCATTTTTTTTGTAGGAAAAAAGGAAATAAAGGAATTTCAATTGGTGATATGCTGGGCCTTCAATTGCTTTTTAAATGAAGATGTTGCTGATCTTCAAGGCAAAGTTGCATTTGCCCGATTAGTCTTTCACATTCCTTTCAAAATAATTCATCACTTTTTTTTGCTTTTCTCTTTCCGCTGTAAAGAAAATTATAGCCAAACGATCTTCAAAAATTCGAATTATGTAGGCTTGAGAGGGAAAGCCTTTGAGTTAAAGAGGTTTTTAATGGATCGCTCAAAAAGAATTTAGCCATGGACTTGAAAAAAAAATTCGATTTCTGGACGTTCAAGCAATCGAGGTTCAACTCTACTAATTTCAAAACTCCAAATCACTTCAGTATCTGGCCTAAAATCTAGGGATGACTCAAAGGGCCCGAAATTTGGGTTCAAACCTGGTCCCTAGCATTGGGATCGGCGCCCGCGCGGACGAGCAATCGATACACGGCGTCCTGATGATTGCTGCCGCCGCCGCCGTCGCCGCCGGGATGAGGTGACTGCTGCTGGGCGCCGCAGTGGACGGCGGCGTAGTGCAACGCCGTGTCATATGGTGAATTTTTATATTGAGAAGGTTGGAAAACAAAAAATTTTTGGACTTTCAAGTTTAACTCATAATATTTTTGGAGCAATTTCAATTTTAAAATTTTTCTTGGATGCACAATGCATTTCTAAAAATTTGGAATTTTTTTGGCTGGAGGAAGTTCAAATCAAAATAGGAAAGATTTTCTAAAAAAAAAAATGTGCCAAGGGGTGGGATTGAACTGGGTACCTCCGCGACCGTTTCACTGCACCCTAATTTTTTTTCCATGCCAAGGAAAACCTGCTAAAAGTTGGTGCCACAGAGGCACAGACACATGTTACAGGATGTCCTTATTAAAGTTCCCCAGACCCCTGTAGGATCCTACTGGTCGTTCCTCCCACTGCGGACGTTAAACACTTGTTTCTATTAGAGGCCCCAAGGGAAAATTGAAAATGTTGAATAAATGCCAGGGCACTTATTGGAGCATATATGGGCTATATCATGCATCTACTGTTATTTGCGTGTTCCTCACTTCATCATAAGAAACTATAGAGTGCTATAGTGTTTCAATTCATCAACTGCTGAATTGAAACAAACTCTGGCATTTTTGTGAATATTGGGTTTATAACGGGGTCCCCGGGACACGAAAGCCCGGGACACGGAATCCCTGCGCGATGATAGCACTGACACGAAATCCCCGCCACAAATGTCTCTATCTGTCCTTCCATGTGAGGAAAGCCCCGAATTTTTTTTAATACTGGTAGTCTTCGGTAGTCATTGGTAGAAAAGTGTTAATTTATAAAAAATTAAGAGTCTTTGAAATATTTTCCAAGAAATCCCAACTGTTCAATAAGTCGGCTTTGATAATCTTTGCACAATTGACGCAGTTCTTTCTGGCGATATCTCTCAACAGTCGACACTTGCTTATGTGGAATGACACCATCTTCATCAAAGTTCTTCAGCGTTGTAGCAACTAATGCAGCATCTTGTTTCAGGCAGCAAATTAATAACCAAATGGTGGGATTTTTCTTTCCAACCAGGCCATTGAAATAGCGATTCCAGGCTTCAATGAAATTGTTTGTCTAGCCAAGATCATTGAGCACAGCCTGATGAATGTTCCACTTCTGTGGCGGAAATGTTGGGGGTCTCCCTTCACAGTTCAAAGTTCGATCGCAAATGTGTTTGTTCTTTGGTAAATTCGGAAAATTGTTTTTCTTCCCTTTGAGGGCTTGTAGTTTTGTATCTGATTTTGTGGTTTTTTATAATTTAATTTTACTATTATTTGGCGTGCGCGTGCGGTTTGGGGCTTTCGTTACAGCTATGGCGGGGATTTCGTGTCAGTGCTATCGTCGCGCGGGGATTCCGTGTCCCGGGCTTTCGTGTCCCGGGGATAGTGACGGTTTCCCGTGAATATTATATAGGTAGTAATATTCAGGAACAGCGTGGAATCCTTCTTAATAATAATACACTTTTACATGGTATTCATGGTTGCCTATTTCTCTGACAGTCAATCAAACTACGAGTTAAACCTCTCTAAGGTGAATTTCAAGGGACCAGCAAAAAAATTGAGTTCCAAGAATTTTGAGTTAAGGAAACAAGCATTTGTTTTGTAGGAAACAAAACGGAATTAAAGGAATTGCATTTGGTGATATTCTGGGACTTCAACTGCGTTTTAAATGAAGATGTTGCTGAACTTCAAGGCAAAGTTGCATTTTCTCTATTAGTATTTCACTTCCTTTCAAAATAATTCATCACTTTTTTTGGCTCTTCTCTTTCCGCTGTCAAGAAAATTATAGCCAAAAGACCTAAAAAAATTTAATTATGTAGGTTTGTGAGGGAAAGCCTTTGAGTTAAAGAGGTTTTTAATGGATTGCTCAAAAAAGAATTTAGCCATGGACTTTAAAAAAAATTCGACCACTGGAGGTTCAAGCAATCGAGGTTCAACTCTACTACAATAATTTCAAAACTCCAAATCACTTCAGTATCTGGCCTAAAATCTAGGGATGACTCAAAGGGCCCGAAATTTGGGTTCAAACCTGGTCCCTAGCATTGGGATTCCGCGGGCGCGCCTGCTCGTTAGCTATGTGCCGCAGGACTACTAACGACGGCGGCGGCGGCAGCGGCGGCCCTACTCCACTGACGACGACCCGCGGCGTCACCTGCCGCCGCATCACGTTGCGGCACCGGCGCCGTCGGTCCCGGCGCCGCAAAGTCGCCGGGATATGTTTGACCAATCGCCGAGCAATCTCTGGTTGCCCAGCCAGAGCCGCCAAGTGCAACGCTGTGGGTCCGGGTCCGTAACAGTCGCCATCGGCGGTCATAGAGGGAGACACTGACGCTGCAGCGAGGGCCACGCGAGGCTCGTTCACTAGGTGTCGCACCTGGTTCACGTCCCCGCGCAGAATCGCCCCGTGGGTCAACCTCACCCGCACCTTTTTTTTTCGGGTTTAATTAATATTTCAGGTAGATATTGTCAAACAAAAACATTTGATTTTATTGGAAGTTTTAGTAAAGGAGGTTCTGTTTAAAATACCGTTGGAGTGATTTGCAACCTTATTATTGGCAACCCCACAGAAATTTCTGAGGGCGGATTTCAAAAAAATACGGGTCACACATTCTGGCATTCCGGACCGCTGAAATTATTTTTCTTGAATACTTTCAAGGAAATATCACTGTTTAACCTAACATGTATCCTGATTAGCGTATTTCTGCAAACTTTGTCAAATTTATCTTTCTGCTGTCTCTTTCACCGAAGAAAAATCTAAATTTTATATAATCCTGCAGACAAGGAATGAGGAAAGTCTAAAATTTTCGGAATCTGGGCGCGGAATCCCAGTTTTGATTTTTGAACAAGCGGGAAACAAACATCTTTCTAAAACGTTTAAAAATTTGCGCGCACAAATTTCTCAAAAATGTGCTGGGTATACCCAATTAAATAAGTAACAAACATTTTCCCACACCATCACGTGTCACAAGTGCGTCATGAAAATGCATTGGAATCATGAATATGAGTGACGAAAACATTACGACGGAGACTTGCTTTTGTGCGTCATGTTCAAGCATTGCATGCAAAATTTCAAATTTGACAGAATTTTCCGATTTTTTTAAGTAAAGCGGAAGCTGTCAAGCAGCAATAGCGAAATATTACAGCACGAAGTGTGAAGCACTCGGGTGTTGCTGGAAGCTTTGAAGACCAGTTGTGTTTATTTTAGTCAAATGTCATCTCACCAAAAAGGCTGGAACTTGCTCTAAAAAATCCCTGACTTCCGGATCCGAGGAAGTTTTCCCAAGTAAGCGTTCTCCTTCTCCGTTAGTCAGCAGAGATTCCAAAAATGCTGCATTTGTAGAATTGAAAGACAAAAACATTTCAAATGAGGGATTAGGCATTGAGTGGCAAAATCACGGAATGCTGCAGAACAAGATGAATCAAAAATGTGAACCTGCCTTGGAAAATATCAAATTCATTAATTAAATAATAAATAAAATACAGATAAAATATAGTAGAAAACAAGAATGGAACACCAAAAAGCTTGATAGCACTTTCATATCACCAGAGCACCTTCTTTTCTCATGCCCAGCATTCAACATCAGCTACAGATATATGAGCTTTAAAAAGATGTAAAAAGATTTTTTACAGATATGAGCTTTTGGGTTGGGTGAGAAGGGGTTTTGATGTTGAAATATTGATTGAACCTTGTGAACACTGAAAAGAGGCAAATAAGGTGTTCTGTTCATTCATTCATTGAAAAGATTTGGGACTCTTTATAATTTAGCAAAAAGACTTCTTTCCAAAATCTTAAAGGACCAAGATAAGCTATTAACTTATACAATTTCTCATCAAAAGTTCTCTCCAAATTGTTTAATCAAGTAAAACTTATCTGGGAGCAGGCTGAACACCTTGTGCTTTAATGTAGGTTCAACAATACCTTATGCTGCAATTGTTATCACTGATATTCTCTTTTCATTATTGAGGAGGGGAATAAAGTGTATGCATTTACACCAGTTGTGCAATTGTACATTGCAGAATGTATTTTCTTTTACGTTGGTATATTTATTTTTATTTGGTAATAAAAATATGTGTTTCCCATTCTGAAGTGATTGAATGCATTTGAATGGATTTGGGTTGGGTGGGGAGGGGGTTTGGATGTGGGAATGTTGTTGATTGAACTTTGTGAATGCTGAAAAGTGGAAAATAAAACTTTCTGTTCATTCATCTGTTGTACATTTTTGGATGCATTTTATTTTCTATTAGTATCCATGTGCGTATTATTTCTCTATTATTCTATTCTGATGTGAGGAATGTGTTTGGATGAATGTGGGTGGTGAGGGGAGAGGGTCTGGCTGTGGGAACATTACTTGAACCTTGCTAATGCTGAAATGTGGAAAATAAAGCTTGCCAATTATTCAATCAATTACATTCAAAATTCATGTCTTTCCTGAAACAAAATGACACTTTGAAAGAAAAGTACATGCAGTATAATAAAAAAATTTTACAAAATGAAAAGCCAATCTTCAGAACATACATTACATTTCCATCTGGAGAACTCAATAAAATGCAGTTATTTCAATGTTATCCTCCTGTATTTTTGAGAAAACTGGACGCAATTTTGGCAAAGAAGATTTGCGAATCTTTCTTCGAAAAGGGCATGCTGTGTTTTCTTTAGAAATTTAGGAGCACCTTCTTGCATTTTTGTTTCAAAGATTTTATACTTGCCAATATCTCTGTTTGCAATTGCTTCATCCACTTCAGGGTCTTCTGGATCTTCAGGATCCTGAACAGCAATATCATTTGTATCCCCGTCGTTCTGCGAGGCACCTTGCAAATACTGCTCTGCTGTGGTGTCATACTTCAGGAGATAAAAACAATTGGCGATTGAATTTGCAACAAAAAAATAGGACACAGGAATTTTGCTGAAACAGACTCGAAGGGTTCAAACTCAATACAAAACTGTTCGCTTATTAATTTCGAAAAGAGTTATTCGCTTTGGCCAAATTACTGCAAATATCCTTTTACAACATGTATTTTTTCGAGAGATTTTTTTTTCTTCATTTTTGAAACGGTTCAAAAACATACTGGAATCGTTCCCTGTTAGAAAACGACGATGAGAACTATACGTTTCTGCTCCTAGTTTAGTTGCAATTTGACACACAGGAACGAAAATAAAATGAAAGTTGGCGAACTCACAGAGTCTTCTCTGTTTTCTGCCCCAAGAGCGATCAACATGGAGTAAATTGCATTTCCTGTTTCTGGTTTTTCTGCATTCAAAATTGCTGCCATGTGCAGCGGCGTTCGCAGCTCCTGGATGTTTCAAATATTAAAAAAAATTAATCATCAATATAATTTAACATATCAAATTCTTTTCAAGTCAAACCAGTATTCTGAAAGAAAAACCGATGTACACTAGAAAAGACTTCATTTTTATTATTGGGTAGCTCGAGAAAATGTGCACGTGTATTTTTGAATGATATATTCGGAAAGAAACCTTACTTACCCTACAAATTTCAGTCTTTTAAATACTATTCCATCAAGTAAACTAACCCGTGAATGAGCTATTTATTGTGAAACTCACAGTGTACCTTACGAAGATATTCGAGATAGAGAGTTCGAGATAAATTAGGAACCAAAGCAGGTTGCATACCGAAACGAAAATACAGTATATAAAATATAATTTATCATACGTTAAGATAATTGAACGAAATAATGTAACCCAACTGCACTTAATCGAAA